CCCGTCACCCTTTCCTTTCCCTTTCTTATTTTCAAGATGTCTCTCTGCATTGGGTGAAGGCTTGACAGGAGTTACTTCTTCAATTTCCCCCATTGCTGCCGATGGTTTAGGTTTTGATTTCTTCGGATCATTGGGCGCGGGTGTGGCCTTTGCTTTGGGCGCCGGACCACTGGGTTTGAGGCTCTGAAATATGTTGGCCACATTCTCGACAGCTTTTTCCTTCTCGAGGAGCATCTTGTTTTCGGTCTGTCTTTCAATGGTATCTAATATGATTTCTTGGGATCTCCTTCGTTGAGATTGTTGTACAGTTGTAGGTCATAGGATATCACATTAAAATTCTTCATTTTCCTATACAATAGATCACGAAGTGTAACATCATTCGGGATGTCGGCTAGCTTCATTCCGGCTAAAACTTCATCCCACGTGGGTATAAAGAAGAAAAAGATTCCTGTCTCCTTGATATTCAATCTAATACAGGTGCATAGACGTGTACAATACCTCAATGTTGGATGTTGTCTTGAAGTTGAGGAATATCAATACCAAAACCTCTCTTCCTTTGATAAGGGTAGAGGTCCTCCCTTTTGTATTGATGCGCGTTCTCAATTTCATGGCAATATGATTTCCTTCTTCTTTGGAGTCTGCGACAACCTTGATCAATACCAGTTCCAATTTCGTATCGATAGAGTGGAATCTTGAATCACCGGAATCGATCAATTTATCAGGGTCAGGGTCATCAATAGCTTCTTTGACCCAGTCAATCCACGACTATTGATCTGAGTCATTTATTGCAATAATCTTCCTTTCTAAATACCTTAGTCGCAAAGGTTGGGGATGATGATGACGTTGATGCGGTCTCCGACAACTTGATCTTGAATTCTGCATTCTCATCTTTAACCTCATATATCTCCTTGAGCCCTTCCTCATAACAATGAAAGGCTTCTAGGTACCAATCATATGCTTCGTCACATGTATTCCTTAGTCTTTCTGCTTTATTTTCTTCATATTTGAGATTTCCTTTTACATGTAATTGGCTTTCCTCATTAATCCGAGTAGTTGCTAATCCCCGTCCTTCTCGATTTTTATCCTTGATAAAACCATGGCGCATCTCGTTTCATTCTCATATTCTCAAATTTCCCTTCGAGAAATTTCCTTTCGGCAAATTCTTAATTCTCCTCTATTTCTTGGAATTTTTCTTCGAGAATTATCCTCTTTCTATCATCAGTTGCAGCTGACTTCAAAAGGCTCTCTTTCTTCAATATTTTGTTGGCTTCGGTGAAGGCGAAGTTGGCTTCCTTTATTTGTCGTTATTCCTCCTTCGATTGCTTCTATATTTTGTTTATAGTGTCTTCCATTGTCTTCGTCGCCTCAGCCATCATTCTTATTTCGTGCTAATATTGTTGTGTTCGCATCTCTTTTTCGCTGATCTCCAGCTTATATCCCTATATCGCTGTTTTCTGTTCTAGGTCCTGCTAACCTATTTCTGCGATCATATTCATTTCCGATCCTTTGATGATTGTCAGCTGACCACGAAGATGATCAACCATCCTTTTCTCTTGGTTCTAATAACCAGTGGCTTCAACAACTTCGTCGCCCAATTGCATTTGGTGTATTTCACTACTCCATTGCTTCTCCCTCTCTCTCTAAGATACCTCCAACATGCTGTTATTCTCATCCTGTAACAGTAGCATCCTCGCTTGGAGCTCGCTGGCAACATCGTAGATCGCTTGGTTTTCCTCAGTGAGATGTTGTGCCCATCTGTTGTAGGAATCAGAAGTCTAGTTCTGCTCTTGGTTTATATCTTCCATCTTGGATCTTAGTTCGTCAAATTCCTCCTCGTATTTCGTATAGATGTGATCTGCCAATAATTCAGCATGTCTGAACTTTCTCTCGAATTCCTCCATTCATATGGTTATTCCTTATTCTCTTGCATCATTTCTTGGAGGTAAGTGCCCATAGCCCATAGCCACGTTACACTTTGTCAATTGCGAAAATTCCTCTGGCGAAAATTTCTTTACATATGTCCTTTATACAAACAATTATATTCATCGTTCAAATAATAATAATAATATAATATTTTGGCAGCGCGAAACTCCTCCAATAATCGGATTTCTTTCTTTTCGAATTCCTTATCCCTCTTTGGTAATCTTCTCGATATTATCCTTGACGATATAAATTTCATGAATTTCTTCATTTGTTTTTTGTATTATCCATATAAATATTAAATTTTATCGTAATTTTTCCTTCCCCTAATATTTCTAATATGGAAGGCATAATCATTATTATAATAGCATCAAAACCTAACACCAATTCTCGAACCAAATATAAATATAAAATATTTCCTCCTAAAACGACAAAAAAAATTATCCATTATGTTTTCCTCCAAAATTCGATAATATAAATTAAATCTTAATTGCAATATTAATCTTTCAAAATTCGTATCCTCAAAATAATTACGACTAATAATCTATATATAAATATTATTCTATTCAACACCAAATATAAATAAATATATTCTTCCTCGTAAATATCAATAATACGTTCTTATATTCCGTTTCCTCTACGAAAATCTTAAATTAAATATATACGTAATATGCTAATATATATTATATATATATAATAAGTTATCATTCCATTATTATTAATAAAATATATATTATAAATTAAAATTCCAATAAATAAATTCCAATTTACCATAAAATATAAAAATATTGCTTTTAATAAATATATTTAAAAATAATCATTGCCAATATAATATATTACGAAAAAAAATTCCGACATTAATTAAGAAATCGTTTCAAAATAATACCAAAAAATCCTTCAATAATGGGGAAATTTTTATATATTAAATCAATTTATTAAAATAAATTTAATAGGTGGAATACATAGAAGGATGTTATTTCTATTTCCGGCATACCTATATGTGCATATAATCTAATACCAATTCATGAATAGATATGATTAATATATCCGTCATTAGACCTTTAAGAACCTCAATCTCATTGTGATCATAGCATACAAACTTGAAAAAGCATATAGGGTCCCACAAACTCCTGTTTATGGTCAGGCTTGCTAATCTTTATCATTAACCTTCACAAGCCAGTGATCAATATGAGAATTTCAATATCATCCCAAAGGAGTTCATGACAACCACAATGGGGACGATCATGCAGGTCCAGATCTTGGCCTCAGGCAATGAGCTGGACTAGGCATTGGTGACGAACTACCTCATTGCTGACATGTCCATTACGGTCAGCTGGGATGTTCCTTTCAAACCGCACGCGCAGCTCCACTTCAAATTGGCCCGTGCTATGGAACCAGTGGTTGTGCAATAGATCCAGCGCTACAACCCCCAAGCTTGAGAGCATTGCCCATAAATGGGCCCAGATTGAGAACATTGCCCTCCCTATTCAATGGTTAGACCAAGACTCCAATGGCGTGTCCCAGACGGTTAGGTGCCTTTACCACAAGATAGAGCGCTATGCCAGCAGTTGGACAAGCCGGTCTATGGCAGGGGCACCCAGTTGCAATACATTCGCAAGCCCCTGACCCAAGCAAACCATGGATCTCGAAAAGGGGGCTGCAGCAATATCTTCATCGCAACAACAGGGAATTGCAGAAGCTGGGTTGGCATTTGGCAACTCACTGGCATAGTGACGCACCTCTCACACTAGAAGATTTCCAGATGCTTTGGACAACCCACGACGAAGAGCACATCCAGGTTTTGCTGCAGTATGCCAAGCAACAGCGAGACCTGCATCAGGAACCAAGGCCACCTTGCTTTCCAAGAATGCAGACATCGACAGGCCCATTGCTCCCTCGTGGCTTCCTTGTACAGGCTTTGGTGTCGTCTTAAAGCCCCGTACACCCGGCAATGGCAAGTTGCAATTCAGCGTGAACATCTTCGGGAGCGTGCAGTACCTGGGACTGAACGCCTGCAAGTTGCCCTCAAGAGAGCTTTCATGACAGAGCACCACCAAGCCATGAAGAAAACTGTAATCTCGATTCTGCTAGACATGTCGAGAGTGGTCACTGAGGAACCGATTGGCTGATGCCAAGAAAGCAGCCACTGAGGTTGCGCTCTCGAAGCAGCCCAAGGAGGAGGAGGAGGAGGAGGAGGAGCTGCAGGAGAAGGACCACAAGTACCAGAGAGAGACTCAGGCACTTGCTGGAGGACACCAAGCACTTCATGCATGAAGCCAGAGAGAAAGGAAAGGAGAGGCGCAACCAGGCTAGAGACTAGAGCGTGAGCTCTACAACAACTTGACCAAGCCTATCAGGCCTGATGGTCATGCTTGGCTCCCTAAGGGCCGCAGCCTGCAATGTCAGCATTGCAAGAAGCGCTTGACAATTCAATGTACAGCAAGACTCCGGGAACTACGAGCAGGGCATCAAGAGGTCTGCAAAGGGGTGGGAGGACTTGCGCTGGTTGGAGGTGCTTCCAAGGCGGCTGAGAGCAAGCAGGAAATCTTGAAGCAGTTGGTCGAGGTTTCCCACCCTGACATGGGGGCCCACAATTTCGAGCTGCAGACCTACTACATTGTTTGCTTGCTGTGCAATCAGAGGGTGCTTAGACACTCAGCCAAAGAGAAGATCCTTGAGCTAGGCCTCTACGTGTTGGGATGAGGCATGGACTGGGCCGTCAACCTGGACTGGGAGTCCTTCCCACAGCCTTTGGAGGAAAGGGGGTCGGGTCTACTGCCAAGTGTGCAAGGCCCATGCGCTCTCAAAAGGCGCCAGCTTTGCACCAAGCAAGGCTTTGCAGAGACCATGCGGTCCAGCAGATGGAGGGCAGCAAAAGCTGCCGCAATGCTTTCGACCCAAGGTGCTTGAAGGATGAGAGCAACAACAGCTGAAAAGAAGCGAAGAAACAAATAAGTGTTTGCATTCTATATTGAAAAAATAGTTATAGTAGTAAAAGATTTCTAATTATGTATTTGGCTTTTGGCTCGATAACGCAAATCGAAATCTATTTTGAATAGTTTCGTTGTTTGCTGTCAGCATCAACGTTTGCTGCATCCCTTCAGTTTATAAGACTCCAAATCAGATGCGCATGGCTCCACTGTGGCCGTTCCAACCTTGGTAAAACGAAATTTCAGGCAAGCAAGCAATCAAGCAAGCAAGCTCCAGAGCTTCCAAGGTCACAACAAAGCCAGAGTCACACTTTGCACTCACCTCGCAGCTTTTGAGTTTCATCACATGTGTGTGCCTCTAAATTTTGCAAATCGGGGTTCGAACTGCAAATTCGTGCGCCAGCAGATCGGTTTCTGTGATGAGGTAGCCTGCCACAATTCTTCGGGTCTGAGAATATTAATGTCGATTAATTTAGATTGATAGGAAATGACTGGAAGGTGCCACAATGCCTGTGACATCATCAGGGGCTAAGCATCGCTTCCTTGGACCACAGCCCTGGAGGCCTTTGGCGAGGAGTCGCAACAAACCAATATAGAGTGCAGCCAACCTACCAGCAAAAGCCTCCACCCTAGTAGCGATGGCCTCCAAACTAAGAAGCAACTAGACTAAGTGTCTTGTTTGTCCTCTCTTTCTTTTTTGAAGCCATTGTACAATAGTAGAGTACACATGGCACTGATGGTGTGAACTTACCCACAAGCTGTCTTGGCGCCATACTGTACTCTTCTTTTGCGCCCCCACATACAACAGCTTGGGGCGTGGAATAGGCGGCAAAGCCATCTGCACAAGACACCTTTGGCAACGCACACATACAGCGGTGACTATATCTGTATCCGATCCGCAAGCGCTGGTGTGAGTACAGCAAAACACGCAGGTATCAAATCATGTGAAACACACCGAATTCCGAAATGGGAAGACCTCATGAGACCTCCATAGTATTGTCTCTTTTTCTAAGTTGCTTGATCTCCTTCTTGAGGAGGTGTTGCCAAACAACTGTTTCTCTGTATCTCATTGCAAAGGGAAGGGAAAAAGGCTGCACATCCCAACTGAGGAGGAACAGCCAAGGATCTATTCTGTATGCTGCAGCGTGTTCTGCCTAAAGCACTGAGCTTGACTAGGAAAACAACATGTGGAATGTCAAATATACAATGAGAAAGTTAAAACTACCAGGTATCTTAATTTCAACTCTTCACTTCTGCCTGACTGTTCACGATAACTCTTTCTTGAGTGCTGAGGAACTGAAAATGCTAGTGCTGGTGATGCCAGCAGGGTCGTTTGACACCATAGGCATCACCACTGTGCATGAACTTGGTCCTTTCACTTGACACGAAAGTTGTAGTGTTGGGATTGTCAACTGTCCACACTCAACTGAGACTCGCATTGGTGACAAACAACCCCCGCTTTCAGATCTAATTCGATTCAGGTGTTATATTGGAGCCCATGTGATTGAGGAACACGCTTACGAGTCGAACGGCGGCCCAGAGTTGAAACACGCAAAATGCTAAGTAAGGTTTTATGTCCATCATCGACTGGCATGCCACAGCGACAAAAATTGTGCAGCTTGATATGAGTTCCACTTTCCACGCCATTTGTCTTTGGAGGCAAATAAGAGCTTCTTGCAACTGAGAAACTTCAACTTGAAACTGATCTTGCACAACCGAAACTTCTTTGATCAGGTAGCCATCCGAGTCAGCCTGAATGACATGGACTGTTTGACTGTGGCCACATGTTTCGGCCACATGCTTGGCAGTCCCTTCATGGGCAGAGAGTCATGAACACAAATGGCAACCAAAATCAGGAGCGTCTGAGACCTTTCTGCCAAGGAGCAGGTGCCAGACACACGCGTGTGCAGCCACTCAAGCTAAACGTATCCTCAATATTATACTGGGATTCACACATTCCGAGTATCATGGCTTCAGCACTGTCAAGTGAGAACAGTGTGCAGCCAAGAAGCCAGGTGCTTGGTGCAAGCTGACACAACAGCTGTCCCTGCGAAGCCTTTGCTGCACCTGTTGTGACACCACATGACATTTTAGTTTCCCTGAGAATCGAGAAACAGTTTCGTACAGGTCCGAGGTAGTAGCTGCTTCCTTGCTACTAGTAGCTTGCTTTATTGAAGGTACCAGCTACCTACTGACTTCCTATCCGCCAGAACAAAAGAATACAAGCACGAGAAAACATGTAGCGACACCTGGCGGTGACAGAGAACTCGTCCATAAAGAGATTGTGCTCAGAGACTAGATAACCTTGGGCTGCACAGGCTGCGCTTTTGCCCCAAAAGCCAGAAAAAGTAGAGGACAACGTCGTTTTGCCAAATTATGCTATATATAGAAATACATACAAACGCCTGCCCAAGATACCTTTTGTCGCAGCAGGAGCTATGCACACTCCCTGTTTGCCAATCATTTCTGCGAAACCAGTAATGCCACTGCTGAACTCAAAGCAAAAAGCACAAGGCCACTAATTGTGCAGAAAATAAACACCGAGAAATTCTGCCTTGGGAGTCGTAGTGGAGGTCGATGTTGTTGAAGTAGCTGTGCTCGTAGACGTGGTCGTTGTAGATGTGACAGTAGATGTAGTCGTGGTGCTTGTGCTAGTCGAAGTGGTGGTTGTACTGGTGATTGTAGAGGTAGTTGTGGTCGTGGTGCTTGTCGCTGTTGATGTGGAGGTTCTTGTTGTTGTTGCAGTCGTTGTGGTTGTTGTGACCGTGCTTGTGGAAGTGGTTGTTGTGCTGGTTGCTGTAGATGTTGATGTAGTCGTTGTGCTCGTGATCGTTGAAGTTGATGTAGTTGTAGTGCTGGTTACTGTGGAAGTTGATGTGGTGGTAGTGCTGGTCGAAGTGGTTGTTGTGCTTGTGCTCGTGGAAGTAGACGTTGAAGTTGTTGTTGCGGTTGATGTGATGGTTGCTGTGCTCGTTACGGTGGAAGTCGTAGTAGTTGTTGAGGTGGATGTGCTGCTAGTGGTAGAAGTTGAAGTTGATGTGGTTGTTTCCGTTGTGGTTGAGGTGGAGGTCGTAGTAGTTGATGTGCTTGTTTCGGTCTGGGTGACAGTTGATGTCAAAGTGATCGTTGAAGTGCTGGTGGATGTAGAAGTAGTGGTTTCAGTGATTGTTGTTGTTGTGGTTTCAGTCGCTGTCGTTGTGGTTGTTGAGGTAATTGTGCTAGTTTTGGTGGCAGTAGTGGTCACGGTGGTGGTAGTTGTCACTGTTGAAGTGGTTGTGACAGTCGAGGTGCTTGTTGTAGTGGATGTAGTCGTCTCTGTTGAGGTTGTTGTTTGCGTGCTAGTTTCGGTGGTTGTACTGGTGGTGGTCGTAGTTTCCGTTTCTGTCGTTGTTGTGGTTGTTGTACTTTCACAGCCTTCTAACACATAGGAATCTTCTTTGTATCCTCCATTGCATTTTGCAACCTTTGCTACTCCTACGTATCCTTCTGAGCACGCCACCTTCACTTGGAAGTCCTTCAAGGTCAGATCTGTTTCGGTCACAATATAGCCAGTGGTATCATCTGGTGAGCGGCATCGATCCAATTCACAGCCAGACAGTCCGTACCTTGGTAGACAACTCGCCTTCCCAAATCCTTTCGCCTTCCGTCCAGCTCATCAACTTGCTCGCTAAGGCACTCCTCATCATGTTCAGCACATTTTTCAACCGCAGCACTGCCGTGGAAGAAAGGGGCACACTGAGCTTGGATATTGAAGTCAAGCTGTTTCACACTGACTTCTGTCCTTGTTGAAGGCAAAAGAGTGCCACAGCAAAAGTCGAGATCAAGAATGATTATACAATTGAAATCAAATCAACTTAAATGCAAGCAAAGCTGCAAAACATATCCTGAGGTATCAGAAGGTGTTTGGCAAACAACTGCTTTGCATCCACTGAGCTTGAAAGGCTTGTCCGGCGCATCGCAGGCCTGTAGCGTAATGAAAAGTGTGCGTCTCGTGTCCGTCGACGTGTCCAGTGCCTCCACTTTCGCATCACCTTGATATCCTTCACGACATGAAGCCGTAGCTTGGAATGCTCGGACCTGAAGAAGACACATAGCTCAACTCACAGCGAGCTATTTTGCAGCTCACATTCCGCGCCTCCAAGCTGTTTACAGTAACTTGATAGGCTTTGTCAACGACTTCCATGCATGAGAGGATTGTTGTGCTGGTGGTGGTTGAAGTTGTCGTCTCGGTAGTCGTAGTGGTGGATGTAGTTGTCTCAGTTGTTGTCGACGTACTGGTTGTGCTGGTGACAGTTGATGTCGATGTGGTGGTGGTGGTGTAAGTTGATGTAGTTGTGGTGGTCTCTGTGGTTGTGGTCGTGGTGGTGAGGGTTGATGTTGTTGTATCGCAACCAAATAATTCGTACGGCTCCCCATCCCTTCCACATACAAATGCTTCTGCACTGCCGCTGTAGCCGTCTTTACCTGAATTCTCCAGGTGGGAAGGTTCACAAATAATCACACGCTTGGTCTGACGATGTTCATCTGCCCTCAGACAAACCTCCCCTCCCAAGCTGCAAACAATGTCAGGCCGTTTGGCTCGATCACAAATACTTGGTGAAGGGACAAGAGAACAAAAATATACATAATGCATGCATCGGCTTCAACAAATACTTCAAACTATCTCAGCCTATGGTACAAGGTTGCCTGTCCTAATTCAGGTGAGCCATTCCAGCAAAGCTTTGCCCAGCTACAGGTCGCTTCCACCACAAAAGCACCCCTTGCCAGGCTTGTCTCAGTCCTTTGTTCATGCAAACGGTACTGCACACAAACAAACGAGAGATGTTCTTCTCTCGGCTCGACAACCAAGACCCCAGCACTTCATAAGCTGCCAGATCCGCTGGAGGAACGCATAACTCACTGGCACAACCCAGAAGCCTGAAGCTCATGAGAGCCACAGTGGCTCAATGAATGGACAATCAACCACAAAGCTTTGCGGCAAACTAGTTAGTGGTATGCCTGTAAGACGATATACCATGATATGATATGGTGGCCGATCAACATTTTGTGTGATGGAATGGCCGTTCATCGTGAAAAATTGTACAGTATCTTTTGAGCCTCAGCGAAACATAGTCCTAAAATGTCCTAAAAACCTTGCCTTTTGGTCATGAAATGTACCAATTACTAGCCAGCCCATGCTTAAGGTCAGAATCATGCTTTAATGCAGGTTGCCCAATGATGCCCAAGCTCTGATGATTCTCGAATCGACAAACATTTTGTTGATCTTGCAAGCGCACATTTGGTCCAACAGCCGACATTGGATGATTTCTGGTTGTCATCCGTCTTAGTTTGTGATGCTGCATCTGTGGTGAACAGTTCGCTGCCTCTTCATAAAGAGTGGGATTTACGTCATGTCAACAGGATCCTGTGATCCTGACTGTCTCTTCATGTCTATGTCCAAGTATTGCCACGCAAAAGCGAAGCAGCTCCAACGAGGACACTCAACTTCGGGTCGACGCCCATAAATAGATTAGCACCAGGAATCAAAGGCCATGCAATAACGCAGTCAAGAAGCTTGTAAGGAGTTAGATCCTCCTCACATTCAAGAACCACGGGGCTGCCCTTAAAAGCCTTAGACACAACCGTTCGCCCATGACAAGGACAATATCGCAGTCAACTGTTCGTCCATCTGCCCATGAGGTTAGCTTCTTGTTACTAGTAGTAATGCCAGGAGCTACTAGTAGCTTCCGGCTCCTAGTAGTAATGCCTTTGCGCCACGCCAGGAGCTGCTAGTAGTTTCTTGCTCCTAGTAGTAATGCCCTTGCTACTCGTAGCGATGTCAGGCGCTACTAGTAGCTTCTTGCTCCTGGTAGTAATGCCCTTGCTGCTAGTAGCGATGCCAAAGCCTACTAGTAGCTTCTTGCTCGTAGTAGAAATGCCCTTGCTTCTAGTAGCGATGCCAGGAGCTATTAGTCAGCTTCTTGCTCCTAGTAGTACTCCAAGTAGTAAAGCCCTTGCTACTAATAGCGATGCCAGGAGCTACTATATAGTAGCTTCTTGCTCTCAGTGGTAATGCCCTTGCTACTAGTAGCGGTGCCAGGAGCTACTAGTAGCTTCTTGCTCCTAGTAGAAATGCCCTTGCTACTAGTAGCGACGCCAGGAGCTACTAGTAGCTTCTTGCTCCTAGTAGTAGTGCCCTTGCTACTAGTAGCGATGCCAGGAGCTACTAATAGCTTCTTGCTATTAGTAGTTCCGCCCTTGCTACTAGTAGCGATGCCAGGAACTACTAGTTGCTTCTTGCTCCTAGTAGCAATGCCCTTGCTACTCGTAGCAATGCCCGAGCTACTAGTAGCTTCCTGCATGGTCCTAGTAGCAATGCCCTGAATACTAGTAGCGGTGCCAGGAGCTACTAGCTTCTTGCTCCGAGTGGTAATGCCCTTGCTACTAGCAGCGATGCCAGGAGCTACTAGTAGCGTCTTGCTCCTATAATTCCCTTGCTACTAGTAGCGATGCCAGGAGCTACTAGCTTCTTGCTCCTAGTGGTAATGTCCTTGCTACTAGCAGCGATGCCAGGAGCTACTAATAGCTTCTTGCTTCTAGTAGTAATGCCCTTGCTACTGGTAGCTTCTTGCTCCTAGTAGTACTGCCCCTGCTACTAGTAGCGACGCCAGGAGCTACTGATAGCTTCTACTAGTAGCGTTGCCAGGAGCTACTAGTAGCTACTTGCTTTAGTATTGCCCTTGCTACTAGTAGCAATTCCAGGAGCTACTAGTAGCTTATTGCTCTTAGTGGTAATGCCCTTGCTACTAGTAGCGGCCAGAAGCTACGAGTAGCTCCTTGCTCCTAGTAACAATGCCTTTAGCTTTGCGCGATGCCAGGAGCTACTAGCAGCTTCTTGTTTCTAGTAGTAGTGCCCTTGCCACTAGTAGCGTTGCCAGGAGCTACTAGCTTCTTGCTCGTAGTAGTAATGCCCTTGCTACTAGTAGTCATGCCAGGAGCTAGTAGTAGCTTTTTGCTCCTATTAGTCATGCCCTTGCTTCTAGTAGCAATGCCAGGAGCTACTAGTAGCTTCTTGTTCCTAGTAGTAAAGCCCTCGCTACTAGTAGCGATGCCAGGAGCTACCAATAGCTTCTTCCTCCTAGTAGTAATGCCCTTGCTACTAGTAGCGATGCCAGGAGCTACTAGTAGCTTCTTGCTCCTACAAGTTGTAGTAATGCCCTTGTCACTAGTAGCGATGCCAGGAACTACTAGTAGCTTCTTGCTCCTAGTAGCAATGCCCTTGCTACTAGTAGCGATGCCGGGAGCTACTAGCAGCTTCTTGCAGTAGTAATGCCCTTGCTACTAGTAGCGTTGCCAGGACTCGAAACAAAGGTAGGATCCTAGAGTGCATGTAAAGGTGACATGTGTGTGAACATGGTCTAGTGTGATACCAGGCTCTATGCGCACCTTTTTGGGCTGCTGTGTTGTGTCATGACAAGTACCTGGGTCAACCGGACTTGAGCCAGACACCGGTAGGTCAGGTGCATACCGAGTCGGCTGGGTTCTTTGTTGGAAATCAGCTGCGGCTCTTCTGTCTTCAGCGACTGCGCACTTAAGGTTCTCGTTGCTTAGATTCGCTTAAAGCTAGTTATCGACTTTGAGCTGCAATTGATCTCCAAGGAGCCGGGTGAGAAGGTCCTACGAACTGCGCGAAGGCGACGGATGTCGCACTGCGTGTGCACAAGCTGCCAGACTGGGGCTGGCGCTTCAAGACCTTTCTTTCTACACTTTGGAGATTTGGTTTCACTCCTGAGTGCTTCTGTTCAACTCGGGTCAGCTGCTGCAACTCATGGAGAGTCGCTTCAACTCACGCGAGTTGTTGTGCCTTGAACTGCCGAAGGCAAACGATGATTCCTTCCATCGCTTTCTCAAGAGCTTTCTCAACACTGAGCCCTTGGTCACGCCATCGGCGATCCTATCTCTTGTATCTGCCCAAGTTAGCCTCACAATGCCTTTCTGAAGCTGTTGGGGATACCATCTGAGATGTATCACAAGGCTGTTATTGGCCGGCACCTTCACGGTTGGCGCCACGATGGCCAAGTGACACTCATCGCCAGTACGATGCGTAGGTCTATTGGACCATGTGTCACCTGTCAAAATATTGCGAGCTTCACTCTCGCTCAAGCTGTTCTGATGCAGTTCATGCAGAGTGCCAGCCTGGTGAGGGTGGTGGCATCCACTGCATCTGTTGAAGCGAACAGTTCTGATGCGAATGTGGATCTTGTGACACGGCGCTGTGATTTAGAAGCGCGCTCAATCACATGGCATGCGAGATCCACTGAAGTACTCGCTCCTCTATAGAGTTGGCTGACATCTGACGCGATCATTTTTGCGCCGATCATACCGCGAACACTAAGGCCTGAATCTGACTTTACTTGGAAGCCCGAGTCGCTATAAGCTGGTTGGATATTCTATTTTACGGTAGACCAGCTTGCGAGGATTCTGTTTCATCCATCGCACAAGATGATTCGATCTCTTCACATGGGTGGGTTGTGCAATATGGCTGATTTGGAGTGCTGTCACATAGGCTGCAAAGTTAAGGCGGGTCGACAAGGCATATGCCACTGTCATGAGTAGACTTAGGAACTGCCTACGAACATCTTCTACTAAGTCCTCCTCCTTCGTGGGCACTGGTGTCACGGTCATCTCTTTGATGTCTGCGGTGAAGGAGGTTTGGTCCAACGCGATGGCTTCTGCAGTCAGCTGGTGGCGGATGCCACAGAATGTGAAATTCACAAACTCTAGGCCGAGTTTTCCAAAGGCCTTGGCGAGATACTCCACTAGTTCTAGCGCGAGCTTCTTTGGGCCTGTGATCTTAAAGATCGTATACGTGCTTCGGCAGCAGAAGGCATATCTCGCCATTGGAATCAAACAGGTGCTCGAGTTCACTATCCATCAGCGTGGATATACTGTGCGGTGGCCTTTCCCAACTTCATGCCCTAGGCACGTGAGGCGTCCCTGCATCCTGCGCCTGGCTTTGTGCTCCTAAGCGCTTCCTTCGCGGGATTGAAGTTCTCGAAGCCTGGCAGTTGTCTTAGACAAAACACTGGCTGGCCACATAGTTCAGAGCTGACTTGACGTTCTGGACGTCCTGTCTCTTGCGCCAGCTTGGCACAAGTGACTTCCTGCAAGAAGGCCTTTGGAATATCAGTTGATCGTAAGGTCCAACCGACACGAGGAGCTCAGCCTGGTGGCTGTTGGTGACGTGTTCACGTCGTCGTCTGCTCCTGTGTCTTTAAAGCCTCGAATGCATAGCCTAGCTCTGATGAACCTCTTACCGCCTGTAACCTTCCATTTACATACCCACTTAACATCCATCAACTCATCTATCACATTATGAGCTTAATGCCTTGGCTGGCGCTCAGAGCATTAATGGTAACCTTGTCATACCTTTAGCTCATCAAGGATAGCTTGGACAAGTTCTGGTGCGTGGGTGATTTCTTCCTCTTTGGTGAGGAGATCATTGCTACGATCAATCGCAGCTTTGTGGGCGTTGGTAGATACGCCTGGCATCCTTGGCAAACCTTCGATGGCCTTGCACATGTTGCCATAGGCTTCAAGGGCAACATACGAACCTCGCTCATCTTCGTCGACGCTGGGGCTTGAGTGCGAAGGCTTCCTCAGCTAGGAAACTCTTCTGTGTTTCAGCTGCTACTTCATAAAATTTCTGGAACGTAACTGCTTGAAGGCTGGCGAGATTGGTCTTGGATGTCTCCAAGTCATGTAGCTCTTGGGCACTACGCTCATAATGCTAGTTCTTGAATGTTCGGATGGCAATGGTCGGATGGCTTTGTTCTTGGACACCGAAGACTTGGCTCAACTCCTGCAAGCTCACCAGCGCTTCTTCTGAGCCTCCTTCGTTGCTGCCTCCAGGGATGGCGCTCAGAGGACCTCCAACACTCAGGCTTCTTGCGGTGCGGTGTTGGATGTGAATTCGTTGGTGTCAGCATCCATGGCAACAACATCGGCGTGACCTCTGTGGCTTCCAATGAGCCACTCTTCTGTCCGGCACCTGCAGGAGCTGGATGAACCGGATGTTCACCCTCTCACTTTCTGCAAGGCCTGAGAACGAAACATTGAAAAACTGCAACGCGCAACGCTCTGGTCTTCGAACACTGCAGGCTTGAGCCGGTTGTGACACCCTTGCAGACTGCAAGCCCTGCCAGAATGTCACAACTGCATTGGCTCCTGAATGATGCGAACATAGTGCAACTGGCAAATGCGTTGGAAATGGATGGCGTGTTCATGGTGGGCCTTGGCGAATGAGTGGAACTTGTGAGCTGTGACAGGTTTACCCCCTGTACGCAAGTGAGCGCAGCACAGCATTGAGTTGCAGTGGAAGTGGTATCGCGCGCGGTCCAATGGATTGTCAGCGATCCGGAGTATTCGGCTGGAATCTGTTTGACCCCGAGACCACACCTTGCTGCCACTATGGCGGCGATGTTGAAAACATTCTTTGTTACATGCACGTTGGCAGCAAAGTGACCTTGGTGTTGTTTGGTGGCGTTGGACACGCACCGTTCACCCTTCTGATTGTGGACTTGGCCTACGGTGATGACAGCGCCTTTCTTGAACTGGTCTATGGCTTCTTG